GTTGGACATGAAATGACTTAGGGCTGCTACCTAGCTAGTCAGCCTCTGGACTCTTTTATTTTTTGAGGTGGACTCATGTCCATAATTGCCTTTATCTTTTTTGGGTTGGCTTCGATACCACGCCGGTTGACTATGTAGCCTAAAAACTTCCCAAAGTGATTCCGAAGACACACTTATTCGGATTTAATTTCATATTATATTTTCTTAAAATTTGGAAAACAACGTCTAAATCATTAATTAAAGTTTCAGAGAACTGGGTCTTTACAACCATGTCGTCAACATAACACTCCACTTTATTGCTAATCAAAGGCTCAAAAATTTTATTTACAAGTCGCTAGAAGGTTTATCTAGCGTTTTTCAAACCAAAGGGCATAACTTTATAGCAATATAGCCCTAGTTCAATTACAAAGGCAGTTTCGTCTTGGTCAGCCATGTCCATCCTAATCTGATTATAGCCGGAGTAGGCGTCCAGGCGGTCAATTCTGGGTAGGGGAAGCAATCCTTTGGGCCGGCTCTGTTCTGGTTGGTGTAGTTGACGCACATGCACCACTTGCCATTAGCTTTCTTCACAAGCACTGGGTTTGCGACCCAGCTCGGGTAATGGACCTCCCTGATGAAGTCTGTAGCGAGGAGCTTCCCGACCTCCTTATCGACTACCCTCCACCATTTTGGGGCGAGGTTGGGTTTTCTTTGTCGGACTGGCCTAACTAAAGGGTCCACACTCCGTTTGTAAGTTATGATACAAGGGTCAGTTCTGGGCATTTCTGCCGCAGACCAGGCAAAAACGTCTAAATTGTTAAGTAGATAACTTACTAGTTGATTTCGAAGCAGTTCGCTTACGAGTTTTCCGATCTGGAGAGTCTTGGTCAGTTCGGTTTTGGACACTAGTATCTAAACCGTCTCTTCCATCGGGGCAGCTCGCTCCTCGCTGTAGTCTGCCGATCGCTCCACCTCAACGTCCTTTGCTATCTTCGCTTTTCCTTTGAGAGCAGCCACATAACACCTCCGGTACTCGAGTTGGTCACCTCGTACTACTCCCACTCCACAGTCCATTGGGAACTTCATCGCAAGGTAGTAGGTCGGCACTATTGTGTGTAAAACATGCGTAATAGACTGACCTATGATTGCGTTGTACGGGGATGGGGTAGTGACCACCAGGAATGTGTGCTCGAACCGGACAATATTTGGCCACGTGCTCGCCTCCATTGGTACTATGACACGACCTATAGGCCTAACTTCTTCTTTGCTGAACCCTACTAGTGGGGCATCTGCTGGCGTTAGGTCGCTTTATTGTAACTGTAGCTTGTCAAAGGTTTCCTTGAAGAGGATATCTACCGAACTACCTGAGTCCACCAAGATCCGCCTTACTTCAAAGTCATTGATGACCATCTTCATGACCAGGGCATCATCATGAGGATATTGGACCCTACAAGCATCGTCCTCGGTAAAGTAGATCGGTTCTTCGATCCGAGGCCATTTGGGTGGGTTCTTTGCTTCGTGCTTTAGTTCTCAGAATGATGTTCTCGCAGCCGCTACTGTGCACCCCGCTACAATAGATCCTCTAGTGATCATATTAATCACTCTACGGGTCGATTTCTCTTCTGGTAGCGGGCGAGGTGGAAGTACCCACGATGGATCAACTCTTCAATTTCGTCACGGAGGTTTCTACAGTTTTCTCTACTGTGACCATGGTCCCGATGAAAGTGACAATAGACGTTCGGGTTCCTGGTCGTTGCGTCTCTGCGGAGTTTGGGTGGCCATCTGACGATAGGGGAATCCTTTATTGCATTAAGATCTCTCCTCACTTCGTGTTCAAGGGGGTATAGTTCGTCCTCTCCACTGGAGGGGTCTTGGAACGCCGACCCGACCTGTAACTTCGCGAGGGGGATTTGATTCTCGAGCTCGGGGATTTGCTTCTTCACTTGGGGGACTTACTTTTCTTTCTTTTCTTGTTGATTGTCCCCTCTTCCTCCCTCTTCCTTTTTTCTTCTAGCTGGTTGTCGGTTTTCTGATTTATTTCCTCTTTAGTGCTGATAAACTGATTTGCCAACTGGAGGAACTCAGTGATGTTTTTTGGTTTGTTGGCTACAACGTGCCACTTGAACTCTTTATGGGTGATGCCTTTGCGCATTGCGGTGAGACGTATTGTTAGGTCAAGGTCTGGTATCTGCAGGCATGTCTCGTTGAAGCATTTGATATAGCTGCGGATTGACTCTCCCTCCTTCTGCACCACGTTCAGAAGGCTCTCCTGTGACTCCGAGCACTTCTTATTAGTGATGAAGTGGGCCGTGAACATGTCTGCGAACTGCGCCAACTTCTGATGGAACCCGATGCTAGGTTTCTATACTAGGTCCGAGCTACTCCTTTGAACGTGGTGGAGAAAGCCACACACATACAAGCCTCATCGGCCCTGACGCGGAGCATTTGGGACTGGAATGTGTGCACATGATCATTGGGATCAAAGGACCCATTATACTTGTCTAGCAATGGGACCTTGAAATCTTTTGGCATTGGGACTGCTAGGAGCTCGGGTGTCAGGGGAGAAGGTCAGCTCAAAAGAGTAGGCGTTGTTCCTGTGGCCACCGAGCTCACCTCCTCTCTTTCCTGACCTTGGTCAACTGGATGGTTGGGCTTTGCTGCTAGATCATTTCTTGCTGATGAACAATGAGTCTTGCGACGTCGCCAATGCTGCTTTTTCGGTGGAGCGACATTTGTATTGCCGATCTCCGTGTTTTTAGGCGCTTCAATCTTACTTCGAATAGTAGGGCAAGCTGGTTCAAAGATTCTTCTTGCCGCCTCCTCTTTGTCATGCATTCGATGCTGGTTGTTGCGAGGAATTGAGGGGTCTCTCTTGGAGCCCGCACCTCTAACCCCGGATCGGTGCTCCACATGGGAAATTTGTCGGCTGTGCCTCTCGGTCTGGTTGGGTTCGGGTCTATTCCTCGGGCTTTCTCTTCGAGAAGCAGGGGGAGTACGTCGGTCACCTACAACACCCTGGGGCGGGGTTTGCCCCGAATGGGGGGCTAGTACCTGCGAAGTTCTCTCCCTGTGGGGCGGGGATTGGCGCTGGTTGCTCACCGGCTGGTTTGGTTGCAGTGGTGGGAACTGCTACTGATATTGTTGATAAAAATAATATTGCTGGAACTGATGAATCTGCTGCATTTGAATTTGCATCGTTCAGACACTCTAGATGAGGTCGCTAAACTGGGAGTGTCCAATCCCAGGGGAAATCACGGAAGGCTTCGAGAATGTGGCGCTCACCTGGGGGAGCGGGACACTCACGTGTTGGGTAGTGTGGGGTGCAGATAGTGATGGGACTCCGGATATGGTTAGAGGAATGGTGAACTGGTCGATTGTCATCGAGGGTCCTTGGGGAGCAACTATCTGCTGCTCTTGCCCCCCAGTGATGTTCATGTTACCCTTACCGTTGTGGCTAGAAGATGCCATTAAGGTTGAGATTGAGTTTGAGATTGTCAATCGTGTTCCCGCAGATGACACTAATTGATGATGCATGATCTGGAAGCTCCTAGCTGGAAGATGACTTGGACCTTAGTCGTGTAGCGAGTTGGACCGAACTACAAGACAAAAGATTAGAGCACCCGGGGCGGTTAACCCGACGAGGTTGTTTCAATGCTTAAGTCAGTATTGTGTCGTGATTGCGATCTAGAATGTGAGTGCTAGAGAGCTTGGATGCAAGTAATCACGCGTACCCGGACCGTGGAGGGGTTGATGCCTTTATATAGCTGAGTTATTGTAGGTTTCCCAGAATAGTTCCGAGATCTGCGGCCCGAATGGACGAGATCCGTTTCCGCTTTAGTTGGGGAGCAACGCATCATTCAATGAACCTCATTATCGCCGCCCGATTCGGACGAAGAGAAGATAAGGCTTGCCGTTATGCGGTATGATCCCGTAATATTCGAAGTCTGCTGGGAAGCTATTGGGATTTATTACGTGTCACTTTAGTTCCCGGGCCCCGAATTCGATTAGCCGCTGAGGTGACCTTATGCCGAAGTGACTTTATGCCAAAGTAACTTTATGCTGAGCTCCGCATACGGCTGATTAGGCTCCCTTTGCTGAGTTGTCATTCTACATGCAAATCACGTCCACATGACTTTTATTTACTAGGTCATGCCAAATTACTCCTCATCATATACCACTCAAGCCCTTTATAAGTGCAATAGTAACCCTAAATTAGGAAGTCAAAAAACTACTCTGCAGACCATCCATAATTGCAATGGTGAATTGGTGACCCCAAGACTGGGAAATCAAGAACCAGCCCACAACAAGACTCTTTATCATGATGATTAAGGCTATTTAAACAGTGTACAGTTTGACTTATGACCAACGAAAGAGAATTAAAAAGGCTAAGCAATAGAAGAATACCCTAAATTATAGCATGGTTAAAGCATTTTTAGTCAGCATGCACAATAAAATGATTCTTTATCATCGTTCCGACTATTCAGCAAATGCTCTTTGTTAGACAAATATAATTCATTTTCAGGTTATGAATTTTCTTAAAGTTTAAATGGAGACAAGATTTTGATAATCTATCGATCAATGCACAATGTCTTAGAGGTTCAATCCAGAAACCAAACCTGGATCACTGACCTAGGAAAGGCCCTCGTTACAGTAACAAATAAATAACCACCTGTAAGAGAATTCTATTTACATTGGCACACCAACTTCACCAACCAAAAGAAAAGGGGAGTGGTAAGGAGAGCAGTGCAAATTTCTAAAATCTATTAAAAACAGTCAAAAATATTAAGCATCACTTATTGGCATCCAATCCAATTACTATCAATCAAGCACCTCACACATAAGTGAAGTTTATCTTCATGTCTGACAATTCTCCAACTCACAAGTGCTCAGTGCTCACAGGCAGCTCCTTTCTAAAGAAAGTATAGTTTAAATCCTAAAGCCAGTTGAATCCATGTTCTACCAAAATAACAACTTAACATGCATTCAGAAGTGATCACTAAATTGAATTTCTAAACAGATACTTAGAATGCAAAGATAGACAAACCAAATACAGAAAGTGGAGAAGGAATCCAATACTTACTCTTTTCACCAAGTTTTACTTCAGTTCCTCCATATTCAGGTAAAAGCACAGTGTCTCCTTTTACACCAACAGGAATAAGTTGTCCATCTCTGTTACGATCTCCAGGACCCACAGCAACAACTTTACCTGAGTATAGCTAAATAAAAAGCAGAAAAGTTCAAATAAGCAAACTAAGGGTAAAAAAAGATCTATATCTTCCATTTACATGCCTGCAGAAAATGAGTGAATTATCTTATTCAAGAAATTGACCTTATATTGCAAAGCCAAAGCCAAGAGGTGAGACGAAAAAATCGGAATAGAGAGAAGAAATGCAGAGTCGAGAGGTGAGAGGATAAACGCAGAGCCGAGATCTGGGAAAAGAGAAGAAGAAGAGACTCTTATCTTGTGGGAGGTAATTTTGAGATTTTACTTTTTATTTGTTTATCCTCCACTCAGGAAATCAATTTACCCGAGTATCGCAAGGGTATCATTTACGAGGGGAATTGATACCCAGGAAAACAAAACTTAGCGTGAGTTCCACATGAATTTAAAATTCGAACACAGGTAAATTGGTCAATGGGATTGTTAGAGTAGGAGAGAGTTTTGGAAGAGATCATCATCTACTCTCCTTCCTTTAAACCCTAGATCAAGGCTGAAAGGGTAGCTATTTCTTTATTTTTCTGTTTGAGTTTTTTCCAGAAAAATACATAGTTTGCTCAAGTCATTAATAGTTGCATTCAAAGAAAGTCATTGGAGTGCACATTGATTCATATAAGCTTAACAGATCGAATTTTTGTTTTCGGCTGCACTATTTTCAGTTCTTGGACTCAATTTATACCTAAAATTTGGGTGTAAACCTCCACTTTAGGAGTTGGAATTGTGGTATTTGCATGAGGTAAGGTTTCAACGATGATCTGGACATCAAAATTGATTATCTAACCCTAGGAGAAAATTGTTTTTGCATGAGAATTTCAAATTTCCTATTCTTGGGCTGAATCAGTCCCTGTCAAAGACATTACTTTGATTCATCTGCTTCGAGTGAGACAAAGACCTCTAAGAAATGAAATCTCAATTGTAAAAGATAATTCTTATAATAATTTAATTAAGAAAAGAATTACAACTTAAATAGTCTCTTGAACAATAACCGACTTCTAAAAGACTTGGTCTTCCCCATGACCCATGTAGCCTGCTAAATGCAACAACTCTACGTAACTACTTAATTCAATTTCTTGACTTAAATATGGACTCTCTCTAATACCTAGATAGGTGGGCCCACAATTGGGCACGTGGCAAATGGCCTGTAGGAAAACCCATTCCACTAGTGCAAAACAATTCTTCATAGGTAAGAGTTATAAATCGCTAATGATCAAGTAGTTCACTTAGTCACCCTCATCTCTCCATTAGAGGAGGTGTGGATTCAAAGTGCCCATACCTCGGCTCAGGGAGGTAACAATGTCGTGGGCCAAAGAGTTTGTCTCACGATTTACATGGACAAATCGATAACAGTGTCGTGGGCCAAATATACTATTCTGATGTGGTATATTTGGAAGGTTACCTGTCAAACCTATTTTAATGGAAGCCATTCACTCATTTTGTTGTACTCATTCCCTATAATGCCCACCTTGGAAACATTGTAAATCTTTTTAAAGGTAGTTGAATCTTAACCCAATCAAGAAACATGGGCTCTTTGTCTCATCCATCTCTTAGGACTACCTTGATAGTTTGTCTAAGCCTCCTCCCGTTCACATCAAAATCAATACGATGGAGCATCGACTCCCTTACAATTGGTGTTATTGCTCGAGATGAAGCTTTGATAGTGTTATATTCATCTTCTGATGAAACTAAATGCAGAGCAATTTTAAAGGGTAATCGTCTAGCAAAATCCTTCTCCATGGATCCGATTATCATAGAGAGTAATGATGCAAAGGTTGCTATTCAGGTTCTCTTCAAATCTGGAACCTCTTCGGAGAACTTTGTTAATTGCCCTAGATTGCAAATCTTTATCAAGAAATTTCTCATCCTTCTATTGGCATCATACCCCTCGGTCCTGTAAGAGAGCAGCCCATGGTCTGGCCCATTTTACTCTAAGACAAAACCCATTTTACTTTAATGTTTCAAGTTGAAAGTTGAAGAATGCTTTTGCCTTATGGCTTAAAAAAAAAAAAAAAAGATTTACATGGACAAAACGAAAAAACATATTTGAAGTTAAAAGATTAATATCATTTCATATAATAGCCAATAGGGAAAATCTTGCCATCTATCTCCAAATCATTAATAAAGGAAATAGCCAGTAAGGAGTTTGATTCTATAATCACCCTTGAGCAATTACGCTTGTTAATCTCCTCACAAGCTAGTCAGGTTGCTAAGGCTTCAGCACAAAGAACATAATCACAGGACAACCTGTAGGTAGGGTGGTAAGGTGACAAAGGATGTGTGACATTTGCTAACCTTACTTGGTCGTTCTTCTTTTTGATTGGCATGATGTTTGCTAACCACTTGGGAGATGTGATGGCCTTCATGAAGCCCACTTTTAGGAGCCTCTCTAATTCTTCCTCAATTTTTAACGCTACCTCTTGATTGAAGACCCGTTGAGGCTGTTTGATTGGCTTGTGCTTGGGGTCAATGTACAACGAGTGCTGAACCAAGGCTAGATCTAATCCCATCATTTGATTGTATGATCAGGCAAAACTTTTTGGAACTTTGCTTTGTTTGAAGAAAAGAATGGGTGCACCGCCTAATGTGCCTTTTAATAGTTTGATCAGCTCTATCCTATCGTCACCCTGTAACTTGTTGAAAATGAATAGGGGATGCTTGTCTTTTGTTATGCAAATAGGTCAATTTCCTCTAGTGGTTCTTCCACCACATTGTTAAAGTCTTGCAAGTGTTTGGGTGGCAAATAGACTTTGTCGTAGTAAGACAACACCAAATTGATGTATAGAGACAATGTTGATATCGATATGTTTTTGTGAATTTACCCCATAAACTAGACATTTATGAGACTTGCATTAGTTTAGAATGTTCTCAGCCGTAAGATAGACTTGGGGAGTTTATCTTGCCAAGGCTGACACTGATGTGCTGCCAAAGAAGTTAGGGCAACTTGTCTCAACTGTTGGGGTTAGACCCAAAGCACATGCAATGTATGTTTAGTTGAAACACTAAACCCAGACCATTTTCCAATTATGCCTTGGACCTTGGAGATTGATGGGCAATTGGAAAGTTACACATAACCCGTAGACTTGATTATGATACTGCACTAGGTGTTGGATTGTGCTATCTTTGATATGCCAATCAATGAGATCCATTGAGGGTCAAAACCTGGGTATGTTGAGGCAGTCTGAGAATTCACTTAAGTGGGTGATCATAGTGATAGAATCGACCCATTTGTCGGACAAAGTAAACGATAGGGTTTACACTCTCTGATGTAAACCTAAACTAACAGTAGTGGATTTCAACTATGTTTGAGATTTGGTTTTGCATAATATATTTATATGATATATATATTATGTTTTATGAAAAATGTTTGCAAATGGTTTTAATTCTTGGGATCCTTCAGAGCAGAGAGTGTGACATTGCACCTTGCAGCTAGGGGAGAGGTTCTTTCTTGTTGGGCAGTGTTTGATCATTATGGGCTGGGATGTTAAGTGTAAGAGACCATTAAGGGCTGAATATCTGATGGTCTTTATCTTACTTAAGTCCATTATCCTTGGGTCTTCATAGGATGGCTAAATTCAAGGATCATTTAAGTGTAAATATTGGGCCCATTTTGAGACCCATAGTGATGTGCTCAGGGGTTCACTACTAAACACAGTGAATTCGGCCAGGCCTTTTTACAAAGGCTGGGCCGAACCCATGTTGGATTATGTGAGGTCATTGTGGGGTCCCACGCCATACAAATCAGGCCTAACTTGGCCAAGTAACAACCTTGGGTAATGAGCCTTATAGCTGATGGGCTTAAAGCCCATAATTAATGTGATTAATTAAGATGTCACATGTGACATGGGGTGAATCTGGGTTTGGAAATGGGTATGGAGCACCTATCCTCTTAAGAGGATAAGGCTTATCTTTTAATAGAGTCCAGATCCAAATTAGATTTTGATAATCTCCTAATTTGATTAGGAGAAGTGCTCCATAAAGAGAAAAAAGAAGAGGGCGAATTAGACTAGATCAACTCTCAATTCTGCTCTCTCTTCTTCTTTTGTCTTCCAAGAAACCTTGGTTCGACTTCAGCTTTGGGGATGATAAAGATTAGTTCTTTCTCTTTGATTTTTGCAAGAAAAATTCAGAGAAATTTCGTGCTCACCTCCCTAGTTCGATCCAAGCAATTGGATTGCAATTTTGCTGAAAACTGCGCTACTGAACCGACTTCAAGAGTACACTGCACCATCTTTAGTGGAGGCTGGTTTTAAGACTGGTTTGGGTGTGAACTTCCACCTTGGGATCTGCATTTGTAGTATCCATATCAGGTATACTTCTACCTCTTTGTTTGGATTCAAATCTTGCTTGGTTCAATGCATGACCGATCCTAGAAAAATGTAGTTTTTCGAAACATAGAGAATTTGATTCCCGGAAGGATTAGGAAATTTTTGAATATTTGCCTAGTCATCTAGCATAGTTCAACCATCCATATGGTGGATCCTAACCCTTCCTTCAATGGTATCAGAGCACTAGGTTCAGCCTTGGATTGAACCAAATCAGATTTGAACCAAAACCCAATTCGACAAGAACTAGTCTAGCCGATTTGAGCAGTTAGTAGAAAATTCTGAGAAATTGGTTCTCAGAATGGGCAAATGATCTAAAATTTTGGTAAATATATTCTGATATATTATATAATTGTTCTATTATGGATTCTTGAAATCTTGGGCTGAAAGTGTGATGGAGATCGAAATCTTGTAGGCAACAAGATTTGTGCACACCGAATTTATTGATTTGATTGTGTGGTTTGTAATTAATTATTTTCTTTTCTAGAAAGAAGGTATTAGTTTTCTTCTGATGTAAGCAATATAAATTAGGGTTTTTTCTATTTTTTACATTGAAAAAATCGTTGGAGCGTGTGGAGAAGATAGATCTTGCTGATGGAGATCGATTTGTAAATTGTAGTTTTCGTAGGGTTACAGTTTTGTCCGGATTGGATTTGGACCAACACATTATTATCCCTAGCTATTTATTTTCTATTTATTTACTGTTTTGATTATGAATCATAACTGAGAATTTTAGATCATTACATATGTGAATTGATGCATGTTTTGGACACCAAACCCTAGGCCAATTTGACCTAGTTTTGGTCCAATCTTGTTGGACCGAACATATGGTTCTTTGGGGTCTGATTACAGTCCCTTGGATCACAGTTTAAGTGACACAAAATTGGTTTTAGGCCAGAGGTTTGATGGCCCATTGCATGGACCAATTCGGCACTCACTTGAAAACCCATTTTATGTTAGATTAAAGCAAGACTAGCTCATTTCAGCATGAACTTCTATATGAGCCGAACTACTCTTTTGCATTTTATCCCATATACCAAGATAAATTTATTAGATAATTTGGTCCATTAATGGACTGATCATGTGTTAATCTAAATGGATATGGGTTTTACAAGTTTTAAATTGATTTGGATCAATTCTGTGTGTGTATGTGATGTGCTAAATGGATGTGATTCATTCATGGAACATAAGTGCTTGGCCCATGTATTGACTTATGTAACTCTCTACGGACATAATGGTTGAATGCACATCATTGCCATGATGCGCATGGATCATTGCATGATTTCATTTTTCAATGGACCCCCTAAGTTGCTTCCTCCCCAAGAGGAACCCCACGAGAACCCTAGCCCATTAAGGGTCCATTTGAATATGACTTTATGAAAGTCAGTGCAAGCCACTATGGTATGACCTAAATCAGACCTAGGGACTGTTATACACGTTCCCTCATGATTAATATAAGTGCAATGAGATAGGGAATATTATAGGATGATTTCTCTAAAGGCCTTCTGTCATTAGCAGGAAAACTGGCTGAATTGGTGGGTGGAGATGCACCATAAAATTGGCCTATCCATTTCATTTAAGACAGTTGGTGGGATTGCTTCAGGATATGATAGGGGCATCATAGACTAGTGGGAGGGGCCTATCCTAAAATGGAAGACTCTTCTACGGTACCTTGGGGCTCACGATATGACGGGTTTGTACTTACCAGATATAAAGATTTAACCTAAAATGACAATAAACCTTGTCTAATAGAGGCCAAAGGGAAAGCTCATTGGATAAGTGGATACATGATCCTTCACAGAAAGTGGTAGGGTTATAGAACTGAAACAATTGGCCCCGTGCACCTATGTGATTTCCAACATTTATAGGGACATGAACTATGTCATCGTCACTGAGATAGGAGGGAAATCTCAGAGATGAACAAATGGAGATGGAACATATATAAAAGTCCATTCTTTGAAAGATAATATGAAACAATATTAAGGTCATGGACTGATTAATCGTGCCTTTTATCAGAAATGGTACATGGACATTTCACTAAATTGTTAGACGACAACAATTTGAAAGGACCTAATTATGTAGATTGGTATCGTAACCTGAATCTAATGTTCTCGTTTGAGAAATTGGACAAGGTTACCAAGAACCAGCATCAGAACGTCCAGGTGACAAGGCTTTTGAAGCACGAAGGAGGGAATATCAGGAATGGAAAGAGAAAAATTCTCTTGCTCGGTGTTATGTCATAGCCTCTTTGCACAATTCTATCCAGAGATAATTTGACAAAATTGATATCTGCAAAGATATCCTGGATAGTCTGAAGACGATGTATGAGGAGCACAATCATTCTGCAAGACAAAAGGTCCTCAAATTGTTGATAACCATGAGAATGACCGAAAGCCAACCAGTTCATGGCCATGT